TAAGACAGGTATAGTGAGAAGAAGAAGTGGTCACTTCCAGAACAAAGAGAAAAGAACGAGAAGGGGAGCTGGGGGACAGGACGTGCAGGGGAAGAGAGAGGAACAAGGCCAGGAGGAGGAAGAGTGTGCCAGGCCAAATGCATATGCAACGTCCAGACCAGAAAACCACAGGTCCAGGGGCACGGGGACAGCAGGTGGGGCCAGGTCACACAGCAGGTTAAAAGGCAGGCTAAAAATATTGCTACGTCTTATAAACAAACACACAATACGGCATGATGATAAGGAATTGATCTTAAGCTGCTATGTCTTTCTGGCTTTGTTGCCTCACAGGAAGGTGGTCAGCTGTGAGAGCTTGGTGGCTTCCTGTTATGAGTACAGATCCTTGGAGAACAAACGTTTGTACAAAGGATGAGGCTTTGTACAAACGCAGCCCAGTGCAAGCCCACACACCAGCCCTGTAAGTCTACAGGGATTACTCAGTCCCTCTAGCCTCAGCCTCCTGACCTGTGAAATGGCCACCAAGAACGCCTACACTGGAGGGGAATAGCACAGACTAAGCGAGACCCTGCAGTGGCCGGACTCCACGCCTGCCACGTAGGAGGAGGCAGCTGCCAAGTGTTACCACCACCAACATCCACAGCAGGACACATGCTTCATTAATTGGGGAACCACTGCTCCCCCCTCTGCCCTGTTTTCCTTAGTGCCGTCCGGTCAGCTCCGAGGCACAGTGACCTCCCATGTACCAGAAACGCTGCCCAGTCCAGCACCGTGTTCATGGTCACTGGCGTGTCTGAGTTCATTACAGGTCTACCCATCTCACTGAGGGTCTCCCTCATTTCACTGACCCTCTACTCTAGAACTCTGCTTAGTTATGTTTTCTGTTTCTTCTTTCCTCCTTCCTAATTCTTCCTTCTCCTTCTCATTTTAATAAACCAAAAACCAAACTCACTGCCATCGAGTCAATTCCAACTCACAGCGATGCCCACCAGGTTTCCAAGGCTGTAAGTAAGTCTTTACAGAAGCAGCCTGCCTCATCTTTCTTCAGCAGAGCAGCTGGTAGATTTGAAATGACAATCTCTTGGGTTATCAGCCAAATCCCTTCATCACTACACCACCAGAGTTCCTTATTTTAACAACAGTCCTTCAAAACCAGCACTGCTAATCCTGACAGGTGTGTCCATGTCCCCCGCAGCCAGAGAGCTCCAGACCTGAAGGAAAGCCCTGTGTGCTACAGGCAGTTTCCCATTAAAAACCACAGCTTCAGCCAGCAGCCTGTTAGGGTGTCTCCAGCCCTACTGTTAAGAAGTTGTGCAATTCCTTTTAAAGGGAAGCAGGGGTCATTTACAGGAAGAGGGAAGAAAGGATTCTTTTACTAGAAAAATCTTACCCTCTAATCAATAGGAGCTCTGGTAGCATAGTGCCTAAGGCAGTTGACTGCTAACCAGAAGGCTGGCGGTTCAAACCCACCAGCCACTCCTCGGAAGGACGGTTGGGCAATCCTACTTCCGTAGTGATACTGCCTCGGAAACCCAAGGAGGGGTCGCTATGAGTCGGGGCCGACTCGATGGCAAATAACAACAACAACAATAACAATCAATTACTGGTTATAAAATACTAGAGAAGCATAACCCTGCCCAGAAATACTACAGGACAGAGAATGGATACCTTATGATACTCACATGACTTAGAATATTATGCAGCCACAAAAAAAGAGTGGGGTGTGCTTTAAATTTTTAATTAACTGCCCATAATTAAAATGTGAGAGACTTCACATAAAAAGCTGGATTCCGGGGTTCTTTTTCCAAAACAATCAGGTGGCCAGGTGAGCTCAGGCCAACAATGCCACTTGGCCACAATGGTCTGGCATTGAGTAGAGGCCCTGGCCATCCTCTTAGGCAAGGCTTGTTCTCTATGGTAACATGCCCTACACACCCCTGGATGCACCGTGCTTACACCGTGGCCTCCATGTGCCAGCAAGAAGCAAGCCCAGAGGCACACCATGTGAAGGGGGTGGGGAGGAGAAGCTGCAGGACAGTATGTGTAGTGTGAGCCCGTTTACCTAAAACCGCAACCAACAAATACACGTGTATCTGAATAGTTGTAAACAACAGCACTGGAAAAGCCCTGGAGAGACCAGTACTAAACGTTACATGGCCCTTTCTGGGAAGAAAGGAGCCTTGGTGGAGGAATGATTAAAGTACTCGGCTGATAACCAAAGATGGTAGTTCAAACTACCACCCAGCCACAGAAGAAAGATGTGGCAGTCTGCTTCCGTAAAGAGGACAGCCTTGGAAACCCTATGGCGTAGTTCTTCTCCATTCGCCAAGGGCGCTGTGAGTCAGAATCGACTCCATGGCAGTGGAGTTGGCTCTGGGAAGAAGAAAAGATTTGGGACCAAGGCTGAACAGCAAGACTTCTGGCTTTTCCCTCTATAGCTTTCTGTATGGTTTCACTTTTTTTTTTAAAAAACAAGAACATATTTGCGTATGTAACTGTTAATATAATTCTTCTAATCTAAAACTGTGTTCAAATGCTGTTCCCCAGTGAGAACCTCTTAGGCCCACTAAGGCCAAGAGCTTCCTAATGACAGAGATGGCCATGTCTTATTTCTCTCCAACCCCAGCCCCGGCCTGGGCCAGACAAGGACCAAAGCCAGTTTGTGTGAGATTGCGCTAACAGTTCCAGAGAAAAGACCAGGAAACCCCGGTGGACTGCAGAGTATACAGGGACCTTCCTCCAGGTTGCTCGAGGCTGCTTCCAGAACATGGCTCTTTAAGGCGCAGAATCCCTTCTTTGGTGAAATCTCACCAGGAAGTAACCACCTTCCCCAGATAGAATCAGAACCACTGTCATTAGATCTGTGACATCTGACAGGCGCAGTGGGACCTTCTAAGAATCCCCAGGGGCTCTGGGACCACAGCGAGAAATTCACTGGATTAGAATTCCTGGTTTAAAAATTAACAGTCATCACAGTGCTATGTTACTTTTTATTGACCGTGAAAAATAATTAGTATGGCGGCCATGTTTATTAGGATGTTAACTCTACCAAGACACGGACTTTCACCTGGCCAGTCCTTCCCCAGGGAGCAGTCAGAAGCAGCAGCAATCCATGTGAGCAGAGCACAGGAAAACCTTACGTGCTCCAGCTAATCCTTCCTGACCACCAGCGGGGCGGCCAGTCTCCAGGCACTGCAAACACACAGACAGCACATGTGGCGTGTATTTAAACATGCTCGGGCTCACTTCCTCGTTATTGTACAAACAGTGACATGAATGAAGAGGGGCTGGCAGGAATGTATGGGGCCCAGGGAGCTGTGGGCACTCGTAGGTTCCGTCTTAGACAGGGCCTGTGGCCCGTTCTGCACACTGGGAATACCACAGTGACCCAAACAGGCAGAGCACGCTCTTGAGGACATGGCCTTGAAGCAGTGGAGTGGGTGTGCAGCAGGAGGGTGGTCAGAAGACGGCCCTCAGACAAGGGGACTTGTACACCTAAACAAGTGACAGAAGTATCCAGGCCATTCCAGGTGGAGAAATGGTGAGCCAAGTACGTGGAGACAGAAGTGTGCCTGGCTGGGAGGCCAGTGTGGCTGGAGCCAGTGGGCAGGCAAAGGGACAGAAGCTAGGGTCTAAGAGCTAGCAGGGAGACAGGTGATAGGGGCTTGAAGATGATAAGCACAAACAGTTAAGCTCTCAGCTACTAACTGAAAGGTTGGCAGTTTGAACCCCCCAGGGATCTTCAGAAAAAAGACCAAAACTTCCAAAACTCACAGCCACTGAAAGCCCCAGTTCTAGTCTGCACACACGGGGTCACTGTGAGTTGGAATCTATTTGTTAGGGATTAACCCGTGCCCCCTAAAAATGTGTTGTGAATTCTAACCTCCATGCCTGTGGTTATAACCCCATGTGGGAACAGGTTGCCTCTGTTATGTTAATGAGGTGAATTAGTAAATTAGTATAGCGGATATTTTGAGTCATTCTTTTGAGATTAAAAGAGACTGAAGTTAAGCTAGCAAAAGCAGAGATGAGGCAAGAGAGACACCAAGCACGTGAAGACCGCAAAGGAGCAGAAGCTCAAAGAGACAAGGAGCTTTCTCCAGGGCCGACACAGGGAGAACCCCTTTCCCTGGGGCAGGCGCCCTTAATTTGGACACTCAGCCTCCTAAACCCTGAGAAAATAAATTCCTGTTTGTTAATCTTCCTACTTGTGGCATTTCTGTTATAGCAGCACGAGAAAACTAAGACCAAACCCAACCACCCACTGCCTAGAATCGATACTGACTTATAGATAACCAAGACACACTGCCCGGTAATAACCAACAAGATGGGAAGACAGGACACTGTCTGATACAGTGCTAGAAGGCGCTACACAAACGCCCCCAACAATGGACTCAAACACACCAATGACCACGTAGGTGGGACAGAACCAGGCAACGTTTCCCTTCTGTCAGACCGGTCACCACGAGCCGGAGCCAACACTCATCAACTAACAGGACGGGGAGGCTCTGGAGGTTCTGAGCAGAGGGATGGCGTACTCCAGCCGACCCTGCCATTTTTCCTGGGTACCCCTGGCAGCGCTGTTAAGATTCAGAGCTGCCCTCAGAAAAGCTCGACCCCTGGCACGAAGGGCCTGCATCTGGCATGGTCACAATCAGCTGGAACCAACAAGCACTCCAGGCTCTCCAGGACCCCACACGACCTCACCGGCCCCGCTGCGCTTTGACATCTGGCCCCCACCACCTCAGAGTTTGAGAGCCTCTGCAGGGAAGGTGACTCACCGCAGCAGTGGGCAGCCTCTGTGTGCAGGCCACAGGCAGCCGCAGTTTCCAGTCCGTCTCCCCGTCCAGCTGATCCGTCCGTAAGAAGCAAGAGCCTGTGGAAGGAAGCAAGGCACCGTCCACTCATCTGCAATTTAGGAAGCTGCCCTGTGTCACAAAGGTGTTGTTGACAGCTCCTGCTCTGGTCCTCTGGTAAAAACAGCCAGTCAGCCCCCAATGGTCAGAAGGTCAAATAAACAGCAGACTCCCACTTTCTTCACAAGTCTTGGGGTCAGAAGGACCTGGGTTTGAATTCTCACTGTACTACTCTCTAAGCCTCAGTGTGTCCCCATCTGAAGAATGGGGAGAATTGCAGACCTCACGCTCATTGTAAGGACTTGATGGGGTGGAGGACAGGAAACACCCTGCATGGTGGCTGGCCCAGCACAAGAGGTCAGGAACGTAAGCCATCACTGTAACCACCATTGCAGGCCACCCGGGGCAGCGTTCTCGGGCACCTTCTCAGGAACCACAACACTTCACTCCAAGTCCCGACTTTCTCTCGTACTAGCTGTGTCTCCCTAGATCTCTTGTTGTTATGTGCCATCGAGTCAGACCTGACTCACAGCAACACCTCCTTGGGTTTTCGAGGCAGTATCACTACGGAAGTAGATTGCCCCATCTTCCTTCCGAGGAGTGGCTGCTGGGTTTGAACCGCCAGCCTTCTGGTTAGCAGTCAAGTGCCTTAGGCACTAAGCTACCAGCGCTCCTTCTCCTTAGATAGTAGTTCCTTATCCTCTCTGATCCTTAGAGTCCTCAATGGCAAAAACAGAGCCATGAGCAGCACAAGCTCACAGGTTGCTGTGAGCACTAAGAGTTGATCCAGGCAAACTGCTCAGAGCAGTTCTGACTCAAAGAAGGTCCCAGGCGAGTGACGGGTTCGCACCCTTCATAGACGTCCATTTCAGAGAGTCATGAGGGCACGTGCCTTCAATCAGCCACATATTTCATGAGACAGAATGTGCATTAAATTCTCCAGAGGGGTGTTAAAACTTCCAAGGAAAACTTTTCAGGTTTTATTTATTTTTTTCAACAACGAAGGAACATTTCAGGGGTCTACAATACAGCTCCCTATTCACTTAACCAATGTGAGGACAAAGGTGCAGTTTTGTTTTGTTAAGTTTTTTACGTTTTGTTTCTTTAAGTTTTTTAAGTCTGTTTTCATCTAGTACCTTCAAGCTCATTCCTGATTATTTAACACATCATTTGTAGAAAACTTCATTTGAACTTTCATTCAACTCATAAGAAAGCAGGCCGCAGCAACCCCAAAGGAACATAATGAGCATTTTCTCAGAGGATCGGAGAGCTCTGCTTGTGCCTGAGAGGCAAGAGGGAAAGGCCTTGTTTCCTCAGAGCAGGTGAAGTAACAAACAAAGGAGGTTCTGAGTCACCTGGTAGGGTGGGCAAAGCCCCTGCATGGTGCACACACGGTGCATGTGCTCTGCTGCTAACTGAAGAGCTCGAGTCGAGTCCACTCACAGGTCCCTCAGAAGAAAGAGCTGGCTATCTACTTCTAAAGAGCAGCCACTGAAACCCTCGTGGACCACAGTTCTGTTCTGACCCACACGGTGGCACCAGGAGTTGGGGTTAACTCCATGGCCACTGATTTTGGCTTTTAGCGGGCTGGGCAGGCAAGTGTGTCAGCCACGCCAGAAAGTACTACAGGGAGGAAGGGCTGTGGAGAGATCAAGAGGGTCACTCAAGCAAATGGGAGCTATACCAATAAATGAACTGATGGGTATGGGTTAGCATGACCCAACCCCTCACAAGCTAAGGACAGAAAAAGCTACATTGCCCCTGCCCAACCTTCTCACACCACATCTCTGGGTGCTTCCCCGACAAGAACGAGGATTTCTGTTGGCAGGACACTCTTCCTCATCCCGCTAACTCCTGAAGCGGAGCCAAGCAGCCCACAGAGTGAAAATACACTCCAGGGAGTGACTGCGCCAGCTGTGACTCAGCAGGGCGCCGGCGACCACGGCACCTTTTTAATTACCGAAATCTATTGACCTGCAGGGACCAGAAACACTTTTTTAAATGATGGCTCTATTAAAAAAGATGTCTTTGATTCACCTCCATGGCTCCAAAATTATATCTCCTTCAAAATTATATCTACATTTTCAAATGATTATTTTGCCAAATTACCACTGAAAGGTTAATGGGTATTTTCAAAATTGATGCCAGATGTTTACCGTTTTTTTCTGATGTCCTCAGGAAGACCATGTCAGCAGGGACCCGCTGGTTCTGTTATGAAAAGAAAGACTGTTACTAGGAAGGCCCATGTGTGGGTCTGTAGACGGGGGAGGCTACCCGCCCCCACCTCCCCCTCAACGGGAGGGGAGCTACCAAACCTCACAGGTCTTTTAAGCATCTGCCTTTGTCAGAGACACATTTGGGGATTGATTTTGGTTTGAATCTGCAATGCTGCTGTAATTTTACTAATCCCTTTTGAAATCTCGTCTCTGAAAGAGAGCTTCTAGTTTTCTGAGAGCCCAACCGTTCCCTCCCAAAACTCCAGCCAGAGGACACCCCGTCTTAAAGCCGCTTTGCTCCCCGAGTTGGCGTGTTTCCAGCTTGTCTCCGGATACGAAAGACACCCACGCTCTCTCTGTTCACGCCCTCCGCTCCTACCAATTTTCCTGCTTGATGTTTTGGCTTCTAGTGGGATTTTCACAAGGAAGTAATGTAGTTAAGAGGCAACAAAAGCCATCCTCAGAGGGGAAAAACACAGACAGGGAAACCCACAGCAGCCCCGTTTAATTACAAACAGAAAAGCATGTAACATAAAGGGGGCTGTGCGGCCCCTCTGAGCTGCCACCCAACATAGTTTCACTTTCCTTCAAATCGACTTTGAATTCTGGGATTTAATCCTTTTAAAAGAGCACAGTTCACTTCCTACAGAAACAGGACACAATCCTTTCCTAATCAAATATTACCCCAAAGCTCTCCAGGGCCACCTCCTAAACCCACTACCTCCCAAGATCACACGTAATACACAGACATGAGCATTTGTTCAAATAACAAATGCATTAACACTGCTGTTTGAAAAAATGCATTTGTGGCCTTTTTTTTTAACTGCTGTCATATTACTCTTAACCCCTGCTCCCCATAAAATGATAGAAAAGCTTTTAACTCTTCAAAGTTAAAGGCAACAGAGGTAAATACTATTACATATCCAATCCTGCAATAACGGTCACAACCATGATATATGAGTGGACACGCAGACAGACACGCAAGCTGAACAGGTGGGGAAGGTGAGTGGGACTACACCCACAAACACATATCCATGACTGTAGCAGTGCATACACGGGCAAAGCCATGAAAACCTGCTAACCCTAACAAACACTTTGAAGAAATGAGTCGCTAGGTCTGGGGGCTCAGGACCATGGTCTCAGGGACATCAAGGTCAATTGGCCCAACATCGTCCTCAAAGAAAATGTTCTTCATTCTACTTTGGTAAGTAGGACTAGGGTCTTAAAAGCCTGCAAACAGCCACCTAAGGTGTAACTACTGGTCTCTTCTCATCCAGAGCAGAGAAGAGTAAAGAAAATCAAAGACACAAGGAAACAATTAGTCCCCGGGACTAAGGGACCACATGAGCCCCAGTGTCCACGACCCTGAGACCACAACTAGATGGTGTGCAGCTACTCCTACCAACTGCTCTGGGGGAAAAAATATGGTTGAAAAGCACCATGTTTAAGACAATGAACGCAAGCTAAAATTTCTCAAAAGCTAAATCACATAAAGGTTCTTCAGGGGATGTGTAGCTCGCAGACTTTCAGGGAACGTTTTATGGCAAGCCCAACAAAACAGACCCCAAACCACAATAAACACATCAAAGAGAAAATCAAAATGTGAACTTGTGTTTATAAGTAGGATGTCTGGCTAATCAACACACATAAAGCTTGAAACAAAATTTGTGCTTGTCTCACAGGTAAGATTTTTCTCCCCAAAGCTGATGGATAGAATTCCTGAGCACATCATTCACTTAGTCCACCAGACATACAAACCGCACGTTAGGACTCCCTGGAGCGATGGCAGAGACACTGTGATGGGCAAACCCGTGAGGAGTCACAGCGCATCACGAGACTCTATTCACCTTTTCAACGATGATGAGGTCTCCAACTTGGATACTGGAGCTCTTCACCTTCACTGTTCCTGTAAAGAAACAGGTCCCAGACGCATGAGTGTTTTAATCCCGTTCCATCCAGCGTAACGTTATAGAGTGTCCACTCACTCTCCTGTCAATACAGTATACCCAGAAGTCTGTGCGCCCCGACATCATCATCGCCTACCCCTCAGAAAAAGTGCACCTGCTGCAAAACTGCTCTGGAAGTAAATTAGGGATCGTCCCTTGTAAGGCACAAAAGTAATTCAGGCCACTCAGATGTCTGGCCTCAAGGAGGTCACCTGAATGGTGCTTTAGGAAGCTCTCTGAATCAAAGCCATAAGAGATTCCACTCAGCTTCCCAACTACCAGGACCAGTTACCACCGAGTCGACTCTGACCCACAGCGACCCCCGTGTGTCTGTATGGCATGGGGTTTTCAACTCTGGTTTTTCATCAGGTTTTTTTTTTTTTCTGAGGTGCTCCTGGATGGATTTGAACCTCCAACCTTTTGGTTCACAGGTGAGTGTGTTAATCGTTTGTACCACCCAGGGGCTCTAGAAATGGGTAAAGAGGGTCTAACTAATAATGTTCAGAACCCTTTTACTGCCTGAACAACAATTCTTGTCCCACTAGGGGGTAACAGAAAAAAACACACACAGACACAGCTCCTTCTGGGGAGTTTATTCAGGGGAAGATCGTAAATTCAACGTGGCCCCTGGTGCCAATGAACTTTTCCTTCACCTGAGCTTGCCCCAACTTTCCCAAACATAAATTTACACATTGTCTTTGGTTTTATTACTAAAATTTATGCTGGTGGCCTGACCCAAGCTACAATGACTGTGTTCAGATTTTCAAGACATAGTTACAAGCGTCTTTAACTCCAAGAACAGTATATCTTATGTATGAATTCTTATTAAATAATAACCGTAAATGTGCGTATGTTAAGGAGACTTAGGATTAAGTTAGGAGAATTACAGTAAAGGATTAACAGTGATTCTCTCTGGAGAGATGGCAGATCTGTCCCTTTCTCTGACATATACTTTCTAACTTCATGTTATTTATCTATTTTTTTTTTTTTAAATTAACAAGAATAAGGTGTTTGTCTAGTAAGAAAAGAAAGTAAGTTAAACGAGTTTAATCAGTTCAATTATTTAAATGACCAGGGCCAGCTTTTTGCCCTCCACAACCGAGTCCTGATTTATTATCAGTTAACTTGAACTCTGGCTCCCTCTGTCCATCTGCTCTACCTCAACAAAAACCCCTTTCAACCTCTGTGTCTGGAGAGCAGTTCCCCAGTAAGCTCAGCAGGCCAACCCTTCCTGCAAACACTCCTGTGTGGTACCTCACTGTCCATCAGCCACTGGTCACCAGTACCATCTCAGAAGGAGGGTCACGCTAGCCACACTGTCACAATCCCCCCCGCTAGCAACACTGTCTGACGTGTCCTATATTCTAGCCATGGCTCACTCATCACTATGCAGACAGTGAGCCTCAGCTCTGCAACTTCAACAAAGACAGACATTTGGACTCCCCGGCTCTACCGACAATGCACCGTGTCAGCCACAAATCTGGACTCCTTGTCCCACGTTGCCATTTTTAGGTGACCAAAAATAAACAACTGAAATAGATACTTGTACACCAATGTTCACTGTGGTACCAGTCACAATCGCCGTAAGGTGGAAAGCACCTAAATGCCCATCAACAGATGCATGGATCAACAAAATATGAGGCATACACCCAATAACTGAATACTCAGCCATAGAGAGAGATGGAGCTCTGACACAAGCTAACATGACGAGCCTTGAAAACAAGATGCTGAGTGGAACAGGCCAGGCACAGGAGATCAGACACTGTACGATCCCACATCTATGAAATATCTAGGACAGGCAAGCACACAGAGACCAAAGCTCATTAGTGGTCACCAGGGACTGGTGGGAGGGAGGGGAAGGGGACTCAGTGCTTAGGGGCCACTGAGCTTCTGCTAAGGGTGGTAGGAAAACTGGGAAGCAGATAGTGATAATGGTTGACCATAATAAACACAACTAACAGCAATGATTTACACACATGATGAGTGTTAAGAAGGCAATTAATTACATATATATTTACCATAATTGAAAGAAAAAAAAATGTAATGCAGTTTGGTCCTGCATTCGGGACACACGTATACAATGTGTGAGTGTGTTCCAGGAAAGAAGAGAAAAGACAAAGAACTGAAAGGTGAGAAAGCAGCAGGAGCAAAAGGGAAGGGAACCAAGGTCTAGTCCTAGTTCAGCATTTACTGGCAATGCCCTAGCAATCTGGCTGTATAACTGCCTATAGATATCTGGCGGAGCTCTGGTGGCATAGTGCCTGAGGCATCCGACTCCTAACCAGAAGGCTGGTGGTTCAACTCACCAGCCACTCCTCAGAAGGAAGGTTGGCCAATCTACTTCCATAGTGATACTGCCTTGGAAACCCAAGGAGGGGTCACTATGAGTTAGATCCGAATCGACAGCAATGATAAACACAGCTGTTAATCAGCTCCCAGAGCCCTGGTGGCACAATGGTTTAGTGCTCAACTGCTAACCAAAAGGTGAGTGGTTTGAATTCATCAGAAAAGCCCTAGCAGCTCAGGACGATAGTCACAGGGGACATCAAGCCCAATCAGCATAACTTACTCCACAAAAATACTGTTCCACATCCTACTTTGGTGGGTAGAGACTGGGATCTTAAAAGCTTGCAAACGCCCATCTAGATGCAATGATGGGTCTCTCCTCGTCCAGAGCAAAGAAGAATGAATAAAACTAAAGATGCATGGAAACAATTAGTCCAAGTGACTGGTACACCATGCAGTCCTCAGCCTATATGACTATGAGACCAGAAGAACTAGATGGTGCCTGGCTTCTACTGTCAACCACTCAGAAAGGGATCTATGTAGGAGATCCTGGATAAAGTGGAAGAACAATGTGGAACAAAACTCAAAATCAGTATTGAAAAAAAAAAAAGGGGACCAGGTTTGCTGGTCTGATAGAGCCTGATGGAACCCAAGATGGCATAGCAGCTGAATGTTTACATTAGGCAGATACACTCCTTGGAGAGAACAATTATTGCAGAACAGAAGGGCTGTGTATGCACAGGGAGACAGCGCAGGGGCAGGAGTGTATGGAGGGAAGGACACAGGGAAGAGGTAACTATGGGGAGGAAGTGGGAAGAAAGCTGTTGCACTGCAGGAAACTGCAGTCAATGTCATGAGACAAAGTAAATGTGAGCTGCTGTATGGAAAGTGAATTTACTCTGTAAACTTTCACCCAAATCATAATTTAATCAAAAAAAAAAAAAAAGCAAAGAAAAGTCCGAGCCATCTGGTTCTATAAAGATGACAACCTAGGAAACACCACGGGGCAGTTCTACTCTGTCACACAGGGCTGTGATGAGTCAGAGTGACTCCATGGCACCCAACAGCAACGGCGGGAGCCAACCACAGAACGAAGACGACTCTGCAGAGTGTAGAAAGGGCTCAAAACACACGACTTTCTAACCTCCCGTTAAACATTGTTGTGGAGCTTCTACAAATAATCTTGTAAAACAAGGAGCAAGTGACAGAAGCGTGTTGGCTGAGGTCCCAGTCTTCTTGCCAAACAGGAGGAAGAGCCAGCACTTTTCCCATGATCACCTGTCTCCAAGACCTGGGACTCTCCCCGTGGGCCCTCTGATGGGACGGAAAACACACTCACAACACTTCCTTCCACCGACAAGCTGACAGGCATGCTTCCCAAGCACTTCTGATTTCTTCTCTCTTCCCCCTGAGATCCTGAAGATGGAGTGTTGTTGTCAGGTGCTGTCAAGTCCAAGCTACAGGGACCCCATGTGACTCAGCAGAACTGTCCTATAGGGTTTCTTACACTGTAATCTTTTCGGGAACAGATCGCTGGGTCTTTCTCCCATGGAGCTGAGGTGGGTTCAAACCACCGGCTTTTTGTTTAGCTGCTGAGTGTTCAACCATCGTGCCCCCTGGGCTCCTCACGATGGAAGTCAGGGCGGCTTATGGGCAAGCCATCTATGCGTCATCACACAGGCCTTGGTTTCACGCTCTGTTGTCATCACTTGAAACTCTTACTAGAGGTCCCACGATTTCATTTTGCACTTGTCCCAGCAAACTACACAGCTGTCCTGAATGGCCACAAAAGCCTCCAGCAACATCTCTTGTATAAAGCGCTTGGGGAAATCTGGCCCTGCCCCAAGAATGGAAGTAACAGTAGCCTGGAGTTTGTCCCCAAGGCCTCTCCTCTCATTTGGCTCCCAAACACCCGCTCTCCCAACTCTAAGCCCTG